TGTTAATAAAATATAATTAAGTTACCACAAATCACGTAAACAAATCATGTCGAAAACCAAACAACCAAACTACGCCACGTTTCGATGTCAATTGGTCGTTTCCCAGGAAATGCCGACAGTCACTACAACAAAATAGCATCGCCCGAAGCCTCGACCTCGTGACGTTCCCAGTAATCCACGCGAAGCGTTGAAGGCCGCGGTCCGAACTACCAATCAGCGCCGAGGCAATCAGACCGCAATTTCGAGCGAACGCCAATCGACGTCAAAGAAATCTCACTGATGAAAGTCACCGAACACGGATCAATCAATCGATTCAAAGAGCAGAGAGACAGAGGCGTTCTTTACTCTCCTAGTCCGTGCCAACTCGTCCACTGTGCCCAAAAGCACAGAAAGTTTCTACTTCGTCTCTCTCAAAGCATGCGCTGAATTTCGTACCAAAACAATTTTTCCACGTGATGAAATTTCCGGCCGGGTTGGTTGCGGGTAAGAAACTAGACCAACCCCCCCCCCCCCCCCCCAATAGGGGGTTAAAACACTCGGAATTTTTTATAGTAGAATAGACACTAAATCCATGTATCAAAGACCTACTTGAGACGCTAATGGTCGCTCAGCCAGTCTTGCATGGACCCCGAAGTTCACCTTCGCGTTACCGACCTCGAAAGTCTTCGGGCGGCAACTTCCTCGAGTTTTGGAATGCGTGACAGATGACGAGCGATGCGCGTCCCGACTGGCTCTGGTACACAATTAGCGACGATGAAACGTCGGTTGCTTTCCCCATGTAATAAAGAGTGACGCGTCGGTCGTTTTGCAAAGACCACAAATGACGCAGCGTCACTAAATGACGCGATAATCGCGATCAACCCCCAGCGGCAATAAAGTTCGCTCCGTAATCACACAGATCAGTTTACGGCCACGCGCCTTCGCCAATTAAAACGCCATGACGCGTTGAGATTCTAAACGGATTCGTGACCAAGAGCATTCAAACTGACGGCCGCTGTGGCCGCTGGGATTAGCATTATTTACAACGAAACAAATCTAGTTCCCTGTTCGGAGAGAAGAGTTAAACGTCAGACGTTTACAAAATAAAGAAAGTGGATATCCTTATCCACTTTCAAAGCCACCTACGATTCTTAAAGATAGAGTTGGAACGATCCTTTTGGGGGGGGGGGGGGGGAAGGTTAATACCTGACGCCATGATAGGGCAGAGCGGGGACATAACACCAAAACTAAATACTAGTTCCTGTCATTTAAGTCTTTCGCGGGCTTCCTTGACAGACGCAATGTCTCAGACGCGTTCACCAGATCATCTGGCTCACTCACAGCTTCGGATTTCGCTACGCGGTTTTCTGGAGCAGTTCTGCTATGAGCAGCATCGTGCTGTTGAATTCGGTCTTCAGGTGAACTGGGTACAGAAGTGGCTTATTCTCCCTAAATCTGCCGCCGGCAACATCTCCGTGATAAGGACACGCTTTTAAGTACCTCCTATTTGTTCTCTCCTAATAATCAGGACGAAACTGGTAAATACGAGGTGCGATCGGAAGGTTTCCAGACTGCGCGTATAAAAACCCTTACACTTATCAAAGGTATTAAATTCATCCATCACCCTCGAAGTAGTTCCCCTGGGAGTGAACACAACGATTCCAGCGCCGCTGCCAAGCCTGGAAGCATCCCTGGAAATCTTTCTTTGTCAGCCTGTCAAGCACCATCTGCGATTCTGCCTGAATCTCTTGCCAAAGACTCGCCAAAACGGCTACGGAAACCTATGAAATGCTAAAGCAAGCATTTGGGGAGTCCGCAATGGGTCGTGCACAAACTTTTGTGTGGCATTCACGTTTTAAAAATGGCCGAACCTCTGTCGAAGATGACGAGCGTTCTGGACGACCATCTTCGAGCACAACGCCCGAAAATGTTACCAAGATTCGGCAGGCCATTCACGAAGATCGACGTCGTACCATCAACGACTTGTGCGACATTGCTGGGATAGGCTATGGGACCTGTCAGCTGATTCTAAAGGAAGAACCCCACATGCGACGCATCCTGTCTGAGGACCAGAAGCAGAATCGACTTCTCGTTTGTCAGGAACTCAAAGATCTTGCAAGAACCGACCCCATTGCCAAAGACTTGCCAAAACGGCTACGGAAACCTATGGAATGCTAAAGCAAGCATTTGGGGAGTCCGCAAACTTTTGTGTGGCATTCACGTTTTAAAAATGGCCGAACCTCTGTCGATGATGACGAGCGTTCTGGACGACCATCTTCGAGCACAACGCCCGAAAATGTTACGAAGATCGACGTCGTACCCTCAACGACTTGTGCGACATTGTTGGGATAGGCTTTGGGACCTGTCAGCTGATTCTAAAGGAAGAACTCCCCATGCGACGCATCATGACAACGCGCCAGCGCACACCGCCCTCAAAGTTCGGCAGTTTTTTGCCTCAAACACCATGGCGAATAAGGAGGGTGCCTCCTTATTCGCCGCGTGACTTCTTCCTCTTCCCAAAGATGAAAATTCAGCTAAAGGGAAGGATATTTGAGACGATAGAAGAGATTCAGGCAGAATCGCAGATGGTGCTTGACAGGCTGACAAAGAAAGATTTCCAGGGATGCTTCCAGGCTTGGCAGCGGCGCTGGGATCGTTGTGTTCACTCCCAGGGGAACTACTTCGAGGGTGATGGATGAATTTAATACCTGAGATAAGTGTACGGGTTTTTATACGCGCAGTCTGGTAACTTTCCGATCGCACCTCGTAACTGTTTGATTTCCCCCAGTTCTATGTACACTTCTTCATGCCTCATGGCACAGCAGGCGCGAGCAGTTTCTTGTCGGCCTGCCCCAGCAACTGCAAATAACTCACCTGTTACAGAAACTCTTAAGCAAAAACATCAGACAGTCGGCAAAATAACTTCCCTGTGACTACAAGACAGCGCCTCAGGAGGATCCCATCATCCGCCCTTTACCCTAAGGCTAATTGGACGGCCGGTTCAACTAGAAAGACGTCCTGCATATTCTTTCCTGGCCAAGGGGCACTGATCAGGTACAACAGAACCTTGTATTCCGGAGGTATCCGGTTCAAATCTCCTCACCCCCACAATGAAATGTGCAAACACGAACTTCAAATTCTTGTCTGCTCATAATTAATTATCATTCATCGCCAAATAACCAAAGAGTCGATATCCACTTCAGTTCACAAACTGTGGTCATCTGCGTATTTTCGTACGTCTAGAGGAAGGCTACTTTGGCCCGGGCTAGCTTTTCTGCAACTGACCTGACCAGAAGGGTCTATGACGTGATAGCCGTCACAAGTTCTGATACGCCACTCTTCACGATGTTGATTCTGCAGAAGACTACAATCCGCGGCTATGTCCACTCAGCCAAGTAGTTACTTCACAAATCCCTTCGCACGCTCTTGATTCTAAAAATAAGTCTCTGGGATCTGGATTTCTTAAGCAGCTGAACGGGTGGGAATGATTATACAACCAAATGGTCCAGTTCCTCACTACCTCGAGAAACCCACTTTTAAAACCGTCCAATCAGTCTCCTATTCAGTGGAAACCGGAGTTCGGAGTTATTTCCTTCAGGGGCTTGAATCAAATCACTCACCTCCATCTAATGTCGCGGTTAAGTATGTGTGGAGCTTTACCTACCACACATCTCCATGGCTTGGTGTTGAGGTAAGCACCACGAATAATTTTATAATCACATGCGTATGACGCACCAAATTTGGGTTGAACATTTTTGTTGCTACGAAGGTACACGATTTTTAAAACTGCCCCACATTTCCACTACCAACTCTCTACGATAAGGACGAATCTAGACAAGACTATGTCTGTCTTCATTCTAGGTTGTTGCGGAGTGTAGTCTCAGCAAGCACGTCTGAAACGTCTACCACACTACACGGTGTAATAAATAACCCAGAAGACAGCCAACCTCTTTCGCAATCTAAACAAATATAATCAAAAAAACATATCCATCCTGTGAATCTTAAAAAAAACGCCATGTTGCCAGTAGGTTGAACTACTGAAGTGAAACCGAACATAACCGCAGTTTACGGAATATCACCTAAAATGTATGACGACCTACTTTAGCAACCCCTGTTATGAACGTACTTCGCCGATGGCTATCCTCCATTTTTACTTTGGTCGAATAGTTAATTCCGCTAATTGTACTTAACCCAACATCGATAGTACACAACGATATTACTGACGAAACCTCTTATCTTGGCGCCAATTTGATCGGAACAAACACTTCGTATCGATCGCAGACAAACTCTCAAACACTGAAAATGCCGTGGTCTGAAACTGCATTTCTGTTGCTTCGACGTACTTATTTAATGTGATTATAAATATAAAACGTATATCAGGAGTATTTCGCTGACAATACTGGTCTGCTGATAGAAGCAAAACACGTGCACTTGCTACAGCTCGCAATACAAGATGCCATCGAACTTAAAATGTATTCTAAAACATTACATTAATACGTGTCATCCCATACCAACAGCTTCCCTATTCTTTCATGCAGTAGTAGCCACACATGCAAGCTCAGTATTATTCACCTACCTCGGTAGTATTTATGGTGTAATGCTTCCGACCGGCGGACTAACAAACACCACAAACACTTCTACACCAAACACAAGCCGCTGCCGCCGACACCACACTCTGGTAGTGAGATCTCGAAGTATATTTAGCTATCGATAAATTTATGGTCGAAAATAAGTTGTGGAATCATCCGTATCGACGGACATACATCATACCCTGCCATCTACACATTGCAGAATATAACCATGTGATTAATTTGGTACGAATTTCTGTCATTGAGGGCAGGAAATTACAGTCATAATTTTTTGTTACCTCATTCATGCAGCTTTGATAGAACATTTTATCTTTGTGACTTACGATCTCTGAATTCGTGATATTGCAATTGACATATTTACAAAAATATGTGATTGTAAACATAAAAGAAAATCCTAATTGGAATTTAAAATTAAAATTAGATTTCCTGGAGTTCTTTCAGATCAATGCTCAGCGAAGTAATAAAGACAAAGTATCTATCCCCAAGGAGTTCATACCTGAAGATTGTCCAATTCGTTTCCAGCTACGTCTTGATATCACAATTCCATATTTAGTGGTGTGTAAGGACGAGGTTACAAACTTTTACAGGTTTATTTGACAACTACTTATTATAACATCCCAATATGTGTGTTGTATGATGTAATGCTGAATAATTTTAGTTATAGACAACTGTTTCTGAAACACCTGCTGATTTTGTTACAAATATTTAGCTTCTATATATTTCGTTTAATATGATGGAATGGCGTATCTCCTGTTAATTTTTAATTACCTCACAAATACATGGTGTAAATTTTAATATAATATAAGATTTGTTAATGCATGACTTGTCATATACGTACTTTCGACATGTATCACTTTTCTGAAGGAAACAACTTTTTGAAGTCAGTGTGAAAGTTAGGTTATGTATTTTAGATATTCGAAATTTTGAAAGGTTACTATTTAGGTGCCCGCTTCACCTCCTCCCCCCCAAAAAAATTCAGTTACTTTTTTCACTAGAGAATTGATTACCCATAAAAATGTTAAATAAATAACCAGCAAAGCTAAGGCCTCCCTCTTCCTGTCATTCTGCTGATTTAATGTATCATTTTAAAAGGTATTCAGGCTTGGCAAAAAATCCCAGGGACGGTCATCTGTTTCCATGATCGCTATTAACTGTTTATTGCTTAATAATGGATTGGCATTCTGTTTCTTAACCAGTTCAAAGATGCTGTTGACACAAGACGAAATGAAGGAGATTGATTTGATTGAAGCAAGGATTGTGGATCTAGAGAAACGAATTGTTGGAAATCTTCATTCAACGGAAAATTACGTTCCCATCGTCGATTCTCTTGAGACTACAAATTCCTTGATAAACACTTCACTGATAGGTAGAGAATCTGCTTCAATGTTCATGCGAAGGCTGGCCGAGCTAGACACACTGCTTGATCCTGCAGCTGAAGATAGGACACTGAATTTGTCAGTCAAAATGGAACAGGTGCTTGTCATGGAACCATTCTTGCAGCACAATGTGAGGGCTCTCAACGAAATGCAGCAGTTGGTGTCAGTGTTGGATAGCGAGGCCATTAAGAATGTTCCAAGTTTGACGCGTCGGCTTGAGAAGCTCACATTGTTTTATCTGGACAGAAAGCAAGAGACCGATACCATGACTGCCAACATAATGGACTTACTTCAACAGTATAATACAATCATCATGAATGTGACAAAGTCATTTGCTCAGTTTGAAGATGTCGTCACTAAGTGTGAAATTGCCACACAGCCCAAGAAGGAAGCAGAGTGATTATCTGCTTATATGGACATTCAAAAATTAACAAATAATATTCACTTATTTTGCTGTAGGTTTGAATATTCAGATTGTAATGACCTGCAATTGTTTTTTTATATCCTTCTTTCAGTCAGTGTCTCATGTAAAATGAAGTGTATCAAGTCCCTAATTGTTTCATTATCATAAGAACTGATTTGAACAGAATTTATTAAACATGACAATTTAAATTTATGTGGTGTCTTCTCTTTAAATACAAAAAGAATGACAAGCATTCCCTACTATAGTGTAATAATTGTAACAGATACAGACCTCATATTAAAAGAGATCATAATGAACATGGTATGTAAGTCTACGGTAATAATAAAACAGCTCAATTTACATTCACTGCATAGCACAGAAAAACTCCGGCTCCAGACCTAGTGTTTTGCTATTTCATTTTCATTAATTACGTAAATTAACATTGAATCTAAACTTTTATAAGGATAAGTATGAGTGGCAGATTTGGAAGGATGGTAAAGCAAACATTTGTGGTCTGTTTGAGAGTAGTGTGCTTGTAGGGAGAGAGGAAGTCCACAGCCTCTTCAGGATAGCTGATGTTCAGGACCAGACCTCCATGTGTCCAGTATCTACTACTTCTGAATGGAGTCAGGACTGTTGAATTAGTTACATAATGGCATTAATATTTATTAAAAATATATGGTTCACAATATTGTATGTACAGGATTTTAAATTTCTGAGTTATGGCAAATAATGTTCATTTACAAAATATATGAAACCCAGAGATGTATATACACAAGGAAATTGCACCAGAACATTTGGATAAACAAGTTCTTAAAAAATATGAAAACCTTCACCTCTTATTATTTGCAGGAATTATGTCTAGATTATGAGCCGTTGTTTTACACAGTTCATACTGTCAAAACAGTAATCATGTTGGCACTAGTTGTGTCAGTAATGAATAATGTACAGATTATTGCATAAAATGCAACACACATTCGATTTATAACAATCTATCGCTGGACACGCATCTCAGTTCTGTCCAAATGAGTATGTAAAATCTATTTACACACTAATCTAATAATGCAACACTCAACTGGACTCACACACAAACAAAGGCACTTATATAGTAAAGTCTGTTCTCAAGGCTTTAAGGCATTCTACACTTGTGAGAAAGGAAGATAACAGCAGTGGTACAACTGTTGTACTCAGTATTTCCCCAAATATCTGAAGCTGCAGTATATTCAGATCCTGCTCTCAAAAACAGGTTCACAAATTTGTTGATTTGTTACTTTTATTAATTCACTTAAATATTTAGTTTATGTCGCAACTTTTAATTTCTTCACAATATTATAAAAGTTTTACGTAGTCCACGTAAAATATTGGCGGGCCACGGGTTCAGAACTGTTCTACTTATTAAGAGATAAAAATACGTCATCTTAAAACCTAAAATGTGAAACTTCCTGGGGAAAGTATTTAAATGAATGGATTTATCTTATTAAGAAACTAAAATAAAAGATGGAGCAGCATCTATCAGATAAAGCAACAGAAAAATGGCTTATCATAAAAATATACACTTTAATGTATGTTAGTGTGTTGAAGGAATGTTAACGGTAATTGTATAGGAAACTTTATCAGAGGACCCAAAGAAACACTAGCTATCATATATTTATGGGTGTAAAATTTCATCCAAGAGTAAATGGACTGAGCATTCCCACAAAAAGGAGACTTATCAGCATTATGCTATTCATATCATACAACCTGCAGGAAATGTTTCTAATTAACCTTTATCCTACAGGAATAGGGGATTTAAATCCAGTCTTCATGGTTTAGCAGTATGCAACGGCAATGCACGGTCAACTGTACTATATGTAAGCTTTGACAATATCCGATGAAGGTTAAAAAATTAACACTCCTAACAAAATCAAACTTCTGGGACATCTTACAAGTACCATTACAACTGACTTGCGAGGCCAAATATGTTAAACAATTTCATAAGCACATGCCACTTTTTCCCTCATAACAGCATTTAAGACAGGCTAGCTGACTAGTGTCTTACTGAAGACATCTGCATTCACACACAAGCAGTCACACCAACTTAGTATGCACACAAAGCTGCACGGTGAAGGGCGCTACATGGATCAGGTGCATGTAGCATTTACTGACGGCTGTCAGTCCGTTAAGATCATCGCTTAACTTCTCTCTACAAAGGGCTGAGTAGTGACAAGTGTAAGGAAGCCAGGCATTTAACATGTGTCATTTTGAAAATAAAAAGGACATATGTGTTCATTATCTTTCATATCCTTCTGAGCACAGTAAATCTTTCATAACTACAAACATAGTTGATTTAAACGCAATGAACAACCAACACGCCATTGAGTAGCTCAGGCAATTGAGACACCTTATCAACATGAAAGTGGGTTCAATCCCATGGCAGTCCATGTCGGACTTCTGTTGGAAGAAGTGGGACAGTAGCAAATCTTTCTCACGGTATATCACTTTTTCCTCCCACATATCATCATTCCTCCGATGCTCAACACACTTCTATCACAGATTTTCTTATTACCTTGCTACAGTGTGGCAAAGGTCAAGCATGTTAATGTGTTAAAATAAAATGACTAAAATGTGGTAACAAGAACTTCAGTCCCATTTCTGATATTATAAATTTTCCACTTAACTCTTAATTTCAGATGATACAATCTGACATTTCTTTTCAAGACTGGCTAAATATCTCATCAACAGACAGTGACACTCCAGCAATGCTGAAAGGTAGGTCATCTACTGAAGCTTAAGTAGTTTTAGCCATTATCAGAATTCTGAGGAAAAAATATGAAAGTGTTTCTTTTTTTTCAATTTCAAATATGTCCGACTATATGGCAGCACTGTGCAAACAATTTCATAGTTCAGTGAACGAAATCAAATGGCACAGCAACAAGAGAGGGTAATTTCTTGATGTGGACTAAAGTCAAATGCCACGCTATATGGTAATGGATATTCATTTTGACATCAGTCAAATATCGCAGCAAGGTTAAAGGGCATTAAGTCTGCAAAACAAACGAAGGCGGGTCTGCCTGTACATGACAAGTGACGAGCTCTACTAGGCACAACCATTCGAAGACAGAATCCCTCAGACATTATACTTTTGTTTGATATTTTTGGTCTTTCCATGCTCAATGTTGGTCCATTCAATGCATAATCCAAATTCACTGTGTCCCTTGGTAAGTACAACTGCCTACGGAGAACTGTTACTTAATTTTTAATATTAAGTAAAGTGCGTTTAAAATCACGAACAATACATGTTAAAAGGCAACAGGATACAATGATCTTTCTACAATATTTACATAAGTCTTCTAGTTTCTAGTAAGAACTATAATAAGCCTGAGCAAATACCATAATTCACTTTATCATCCACCTTCTTGTGCCAACCATTAGCGCTTGTTCTTCGGCTGTTCTCGGCCATCAACACATATATACATTAACTCTCTCTTCGAAACAGCTGAACAGATAACTCCTGCTACATTCTCTGCAAATAGCACTGTTTCATTAGGAATCAGATATTTAAACAAATCATTTGTGTCAAAATATCAGTATTAGGAAGCACATTATAACGTAGCTAAACAATTTTTGTGCAGGATAATGGCTGCTATTTGTCATCTAGAATGTCCCAAGAGGCATTCATCAACAAATGAAATTTGGATAACTCATGAGTTTATTGGAAAAAAAAAAACTTCAGTGTTTATTTGGCATAGAATCCAACTCACTTGTCACACCTGAGCTCAAATATGAACATTTCTGCACACAAAGATATATAAGAACTTTTGGGATGCACAGTATAGCTTAATCACTTCTGCAACTTCCTTATTAAGTTTCCTAATCATACAACAATTTTTCCATTCACATGCTTTTGGTTTAAAGCATATGAAGTCATGTCATTTCAATTCTAACTTTAATGTGGTTAATTCATCTGTAATAGGCAATGTGGCAGACAACTGTGGCACTGATATACATAACAGAGATGATGTATCTTAAAATGCTTACATAATATTAGACACAACAAAAGAAAATGCTTAAAACAATTCATCATCTGGAAGGTCAGCCTTCTTCATTCACACACCATTTTTCAGTACACACCTCACATGTAAATAAGGAAATTATTACACTTCATGCTTACTTGCATAACATCATAAGCCTGTATAATTTAAGGTAATTTTATATAAATTACCATTTAAACAATAACTTTAATTATTAAATATTACCAACTTAATTGGCCAAAAATTCATTATGAACATTTTATAAAACAAGCAGATGGACTTGTGTCCCGTGGATAAGCTACACTTGATCACAGGAAAGTATTTCAAAGATAGGCACTATGCAATTATTATTGCAGATTCTAGGGAGAATCTTCAATTAAACCTGAATGATTATAAACTTCTGTATCTGTGAAGACCCTTACTGTAAAGAGGTAACACTCCCTTGTCTAATACTACAGACTTCTGGAGGCAACATTTACTTACACATTTGGATGTAAATTTGTGTACTTACGTTGAATTCTATTCTAAAATTGTATTTCTTCGGTGCAGCTTTATCAAGTTCCTTTTGACACACACTCCTACAACAAATACTCTTTACACTGAATTTCCTTCCTTCCTTTGTGCCAATTTCAACATCTCTTCTCTACAATTCTGTTTCAGAATCCATCATATGAATAAATATCTTCCATCAAAGCCTATGGGCAGAATATGAAAAATTAAATTCTAACTTTCCATTCAATTTAATACACGTGTCATATAAAACTGTCATAACAAATATCAAACTTCTCAACAACAAATAACTGAAAAAATAGTAAGCATGAACCCCAAAATTGAATTCATAAACTTCCAACATGTAATACCACATATGCTGCTGACCTACCTGAAGTGAGAACCTCATGTTGCTCTTTGTAGCAACGCTGCATGGTTCAGTCACACAGGAAACAGATATATTCAAGCAAAGAAGTTTGCCACATTCATAATGTCGCTTGCTGGTGAACATCACAATACTGATGCCACAGTACACAATACATTTGGCACAGTACCAACTCTGGCACAATCACAGACAGACAGGTTTAACAACATAATTGACTGAAATGTAAATACCAAGCGCATATGACCTTTATTCCAAAGAAATGTATGATCAGACTTCCTAATATTAAAATGATCCGGTGGCATTTCATTATCTGCCAATACAGGGGAGGAGCTGCTACTCTCCCTTCCCCTAATTTAAAAATAGCATTTCTAAATCCCTCCTTCGCCGTACGTTAAATGTTGATTTACGCTCGAAACGACTGCCGACAGTCTTCTCGACCCAGGCCCTTACAGCAGTGATAGAACTGAATATGGATGGATGGTAGCCTTGTCCGCAGTTGCTATGATAGCTCAGCACTCCCTGTAGCTCCCACACACCCCCCTCACTGACGCACATCAGTGGTGCTCCCTCGTCGTTCTGCAACACAAATAGCCTTGGTCACAACTTGCAACTTTTACAATCACTGTCATCATTCTGCTCCTACTTCTGTCTGAAAACCACCTTACCTCCTGTATTTGTCGTCAGGATGCTCTGCTCCTGTCTCTACCTTGCATCAAATGGATATGTAATATTTGACTTATCAAACCAACACTCGATTCTGTTACCATGGCGTAAACAGTTACAATTCTGTCTTCGAATAAGGGAAATGAAGAAAGACATTTCGATGATCTCCATTTATATACAAAAAGAGAAACTAAAATGACTATAGGTTCATGTAACAAGAGGATTTTAGCAGAGAAACCTCTGCATCTCTTCAAACATACGCTGTTTCCATAGTGACAAAATGCAGTTACGTCTTCTTAAATGATTATCTGGGTCAGTATGGAGTGATATGACTGTTTTTCCAGGAAGATGATTGTGATGTTACCTATTCTAACATGACACATAAAAGACCTGTCTGTTGTACGGAGGTGGTATCCACCCACCACACATTCAAGTGTTGAACAGGTACTCACATAACAAGGAGACTTCTCTGCATCTGTAAAGCCAGCGCAGATCTCATCCTTGGTGATGAATCCTGCGTAGTGCTTGGTGCTGTTGCAGTCCCTGAGGTCAATAGTTGGTAGAGGCAAGTAATGCAGGTACTGGCTAAAGTTGATCTCTGAAGGACATATAACATACTCACACTCAGATTAGAAAAGCCTTTCACGCTGAGGTCTTCTGACTCAGAATAATGTACAGTTTCAGAAACACCCACAATATTACACACTGACACAACACACAAGACAGCATTCTGAACATGGTGAAACGTTCAAATCACAGAAACCTGAATACTGAAGCCTGAATAAACACAAGGTTAACTTATGAGAGGTCTTCTGGGTCTGTCGCAACGCTGTGTGGACACGTAGGTAGATAAAAATGTTTCAGAGGGAACACACTGCTTCCATCTTAAGGCCTGTTGGAGGCATATCACATAATGTTACAACTCAGAAGATCAACAGACATCATCACCACCATAAAAACATCAAAGTTCATGCCAAAAAATCATGAGGTCTCCTAAGATCACAAACTTAATTGAAAAACCTGCTCTCTGCTTGCATTTAACTGTACAATTACAACGAATGTCACATTTCAGATTACTGAACCCAAGCTGCTCTTTTTGACAAGTTTAAACAATTCAAGTGAATGAAACAAATCACGGTGACAGCTCACCTCCAGGAGAAGTGTATCCCCAGCCAGCAGTGACGCACAGCTGACGTGGCTCAATTTCCTTCTCTGGCAGGCAAATGGGTCCCACAGAGCGGGTGAAGATAAGTGGCTGGCTCAGCTCAATAAGGGCAATATCATTGTTGTACAGGAACTGGTTGTACTTCACCTGTGGGTACGGAATGATGGACCGCACCTCTCGTATCTGCGTCTCTGGTTTGTCTGTCTCAAACATGGAGCCTCCACCGAATGCCACCCAGCTATCAGGTGTCAGTGTCTTATCCCTGTCAGAACAAAGGGACATGCAAACTTAACTTTGTCGCCAGATAAGTGATGCAGACAGCGTTACTGACAAATCCACTTCTTATGCCAATTTTCCCATAAAATTTTTTACAGCTGTGTATAAGGGAGATGTTTACTTCACGAACTCCTGCAAAATGCTATCTTAATTTGGTAAATACTAATAATATATATTTCAAAGAGTACTTTAAAATTAACACTTATTTTGGTTGCTGTAATTTAAGAACACGAGGTTGCAATCTATTTTATTAAAAGCTCCCAGTATGAAATGCCATAAAAATGGTTGATAATTAATGATATACCTACCTCAGGTGGAGACAGTTGTATGAGGACAGGAGCCACTTGGGACTGATGATGCTTGCAGTGCAGCTTGACCTGTGTCTCGTATGGTACAGCAGAGCCACTGACGGCCACTGTCTATTGGTAGCACCATCCCCACCCACTAACCGAGCCGCCACCCCGTCAGCAAGGCCATGGCTACCACAAGCTGAAACATATATATATCACTTCAGTCTTGGTACCAATTTGATGGGAGTGACATCTGCAAACCATCCACCCAATTGAAATCTCAGCACAGTAGGAACCAGGAACACTGAGTATATTCGTTCCTGATCAGGCTGCAGCCCTTCACACAACTTCTTCTGAAGAAGTTCGTTTCCAAATTTAGTTGTCGGGCTGGGAAATGTCGGCCTGAAGAGATACATAAGAACTGTAATGCAAATCATACTGGCACACATGAAAATCTGAAATGTAAAATTTGTAAACTGTACATCATTCTCCCTGGATAATGATCTCTTGTAAAGTTCTCACATCCTCCTATGACTCAACTCTTTTTATCCTATCCAGTCCCACTTTGTCCTTTCTCCTATCATAAGAAACATGACTGGGAAGTAGTGGTGTTTTGTTTGCACTGGAATCAGCTTTGGATCATATGAGGGCAACACTAAAGGCAGATGCATTATAATGAGGTTTCATTATACTTACTGAATTCCTGGCACAATACTTCAACCATGGAGCCGGATATGCAGGTGGAATCACTGCCAGATTTCTGCAATGACGATGACAGCCGAGAACTTGCACTGCCTGACGGAGCCACAGCTCCTGGTTTCAGGGTATAATATTCACCGACATTGCCACTCATTGCTGGGTAGTCAGTGAAGGTGGATTTACTGTACCCCAGACTCTGGCAGGCGAGATCACTCCACTTGCTGCTCCAGTTGTCTCCACAAACTGGGTGCCATGTTCCCTCTGCAACCCTGCCAACATACATCTTTCCCTTGTAACAAAAAGATGGCCCTCATATAACCAGAGATCAACTTAATGTCACGCTTTAGAAGTTCCTCACTTAACACACATACCACCACCTGTATGTCTTTTAATGACTAATGTGAAATATTTTAGCCAGGCTTTATGATAAGGTGACAGGATTATAAATGAAATAAAATTAAACCAAACTATTATTTATAATTTTTTTTTTCATAAAATATCAAAGATTAAAATGTGAAGTCCTCATAGCATTACTAATTTTATAATTCAATAATTGGAACTCTTCCATACCTTATTTGCAACTTCATAGTGTCATTATGCAGACGGACACAGCCCCACTCATCACTCATATCTGGGCAGTGCTCCACACCGTCACACACCTGCGTCTTCGGAACGCAGCCTCCGGTGTTGCATTGGAACTGGTCCAGCGAACAGTCTGCAGTCACAGAAAGTATACCTTATTTGTACTCTATTAATTCTTCCATAAAGCATTAAACAGCATTTGGTGAAAAGATCAGACACTGACAGAGGTGAACAGAAATGCTCACCGACGAAGAGAAAACAGTGAGACTGAATTCTTGGTTAGGTTTTGGGTCCTTAATCTCGAGTAGTTAATTTTTTCATCTTTTTAACAGTGCTTTGTCTGCTGCTTCAGTTATATAGCCAAATGTGGAAGGTGTAAAATGAATAAAAGATTTTGAATCATGTGGAAGAAAGTGGTCACAGGCTATTTTAAAGCAATATCCCAGTATATGCGCAGAGGAATTGAAGAACTGCAGGATAAATGGTCCCCAGAAATTGGTAAGACCAGTTCTTTCATACTGCCCAATTTCCATATTTTTAACCTCACTTATTTTCTTATGTATAATTCCAGTGACTCAATTCTTAACCACCAAATTTTAAGGAGAAATGTTTGATAAACAAACATGAAAACATAGCAACTTACCACACAATTTCTCATCCTCCCCATTAGCACACTCAGCAATCCCATTGCACCGCCAGGTCATCGGTATGCACCAACGCTCTGGGCAGAGGTACTCGTCATTCCCACATGAACCTAGATTGTCACAAAAGGAAAGGAAGGAGGTCACTAACGAGGCTTGCATGTTCTCTCAAGTAATGGTTGGTTACCTGTCCACCTCTCTTAGATACAAGCTGTTTAGGCTGCAGTTTTCAATTTTAGGTTTAAATATGGTTTAAATATTGTCTTAGAAACAAATGATATATTTTAGACACTACTGTCTCAATACCGAGATGAAACGTTTTGTACTCACTCATGCAATTGTACTCGTCAGTGTGGTTGTCACAATCTGGTTTCCCATCACAGTGCCACAGGAATGGGATACAGCGGCCCGACGAGCACTGGAACTCGTCAAACTGGCACTGCCACCTCTCTGGAAGCAAATGTACTTTAAAGTGACACAACAGAAATCCAACTTCGACTGAGAAAAGATAACATATCATAAATATGTATCTCATACTGGTAAACAAAATATACAAAATGACACCAGAAACACTGGGCAGTTTGGTTGGATAGGGTTAGAAATCAGATGGGATGATATTTTCAAATCAACTACAGCAAATGAGATTCTACACTACTACATTCAAATCACTGAAACTTAATCATAAATGAGAGAAAGCTTAATCTCAAAACATTCAACTGTATGCATTCTCTGTTTTTTCTACAGGCACTGCCTCTTCATTTTTACACTGCACCTATGACCAAACCCAAACATGAAAAGTGAAACCAGCTTTTGATATTAAACAACAGCTCACTTACCACAGTTCACCTCATCACTGCCATCATTGCAGTCGACAATACCGTTGCATACCAAGTGTCTCTTGAGGCACTGGCCACTGGAACACTGGAAGTTGCCAGGGCACCCCTCTTCCACACAGCCCACCTCATCTGACCCATCTGAACAGTCGTTCACCGAGTCACACTTTGCCACCTGACTCACACAGTAAGCCCCCTCATGTGAAGTTCCATTCACACACTGGAACTGACCTGCAGAACACATCCATTTCCTCCAGGAAACAATATTGATAAAGAATTATCTAGATCAGAGGTTCCCAAAGTGTGGGGCGTGCCCCCCTGGGGGGGACGAGTGGTTTTCTGTATGAAAAACATTTTTTAAAGAAATATGGAGAAACATTTTTAACATCCTTTGCTTGGTTGAGGCAGTTTAGTTGTCTTGCAGTGCTGTAGAATTCAGACTCGTATAGCATCGGCGGTTTTAGGACGTAAACGGCAATATAAGTCTATGTACAGTTAGGGACTCAGATTTGTGTTGTGTTCACAGAAGCAATCACATCCATCCCATTAATACAGACATGAAGCGTATATTTTATTACAGTTTTTAAATTAAAGGCATTGAATAATATATACTAAATTATAAGAAATGTATACTCATAGCTAAATTTTATGTCAAATCTATTTGTTTTCACTTGTTATTAGGACGTAAACGGCAATATAAGTCTATGTACAGTTAGGGACTCAGATTTGTGTTGTGTTCACAGAAGCAATCACATCCATCCCATTAATACAGACATGAAGCGTATATTTTATTACAGTTTTTAAATTAAAGGCATTGAATAATATATACTAAATTATAAGAAATGTATACTCATAGCTAAATTTTATGTCAAATCTATTTGTTTTCACTTGTTATGGAAGGGGGGGCATGAAATTTATGAAATTTTTTAAGGGGGGCGCAAGGTATAAAAGTTTGGGAACCTCTGATCTAGATTATTATTCCTTACTGACTTTACCTTTCAAATAGATACCTCTATTACAACTGGGTCTCATACAATTGAAATTAATGCATCTTCATAAGTATTTCTTGATGTTTCCAAGTTTTACATTCATTATTCTACAGATTTTAAACTTTTCTGCTCTCACCAATTTAATAAAATAAAATTTTCTAAGAATATTTTGCACAGTTTTCTAACATTAAAAGCTTAACAAGACTCAAAACTGACACACACACATCTTGGATTTGAACATGAAAAAACAAGAATAATGAAATTCATGTTAAGTTCTAAATACCAAAATATTCATGCCAAGGAAGGCAAAACTTTTGTTTACCGTCCTTAAAATCACTGAAAGATAAAAAGCAGATTCAAACTTAAATGGCAATTACAGGGCCAGATCACCAAATACAGAAATCAGAAAAATAAAATATTTAAAGCATCAAGTATCCTGACCTGACTGCAGTATATGTGTTATTGGAAATATTTCACTGTGTTAAATGCAGCATAGGATAAAAGACATGCTTCATCAAATCCAGAAATTTACATGAACGGTATAAAATTACCAGCTAACCTGATGCGCATTTTGAGAACACCACAGGTGTCTCCCCAACTCCAAATCCACCAAGAGACGTCCCATTTCCAGATGACCACCACCGTACCACACTATCATTACGTCCTACTGGAGACATGTCTTCTCTCACTGTTGTTACATCAAAATATTTTGTTGAATTCGGTGCAAACCCAGTTTCCAATAACGTGCTTGTGCCTCTGTGTAATGTGGCAAAATAATCACTGAGTGTTACCACGGTACTAACATGGATTCCTGGCGATTTTGATGATGTTTCAACAGTAATATTTGTAGGTAGTTCTGAAGGGAGTTCTGTACTGGGGGCGTCAGGATCACCGACTTCTTGAGGTTTAGCTACCACAATTCCAAGACTAAGATTCATCACAGAACTATTTCCCACACTGTCCGATGTCAACGTGCTGGATTCTGAAGTCATGGATGGGGGAAAAGGAATTTCACTTGTAAAAACAAAGGCGACATCGTCTTTAACATTTACATTTCCATCCAAGATTTTCTGAGTGGCACGTTGGTTATCGGAATTCAGCAACGGCCCATCAGTCAGCAACGCAGTCGCTGACAATTCAGCCTCACTGGCGGTAACATTGGAAGACTCAGACACATTGCTGGTACTCTGAGGGGCATGGCCCTCAATGAAAGGCAGTTCTGTGTGTGTCAGCGGTGTTTCTGTCACGTGTGATGTTTCGTTTGCTCCCCTTGAAATTGCAGGTTCAATGCCAACAGCTATAGATGATTCTGTGTGATTTTTAACTTTGTATGTAGCATTGTCTGTCTTGCCCACAATGTCATTTCTCGGCGAAACTTGCTGATAGTCAGCCACTGTAATGCTCTCATTCGTCGCCGTCTCGCCTTCAAATCTGTAACGATTACTTCCTCCTAGATCTGATTTCTTTTCCTTTGTCACCACATTGTGTGGTTCAACAACATTTACATGATCAATGTCACCTCGTATGTCTGTCAGCGGATCCTCATTTTCATCTTCATCATCAACGGGCCTTGACCCTGTATCTTCAGTTTCAGTCGTGGAGTTTTCTCTTACGAGTGTCACAGCAGCTGTTCTTGCAGATGAAGCTGTTCCAGGGGTGGTTACAGTCACATTCTCAGCCACATCAAACACGTGTTCCCCTACTACCAAAGCAGCAAAACCCATTCTATCTATTTTCTTGCTACTGTCTTTATCAAATTTCTGTAACTTTTCGACCGGTTTCTTTTCATACAGATTAATTGCTGATTTGTCGGGAATAAATTGATCGTTTTCCCCATGCAAACTGCTGGTCTCACCTAAGGATTTCAGAGGTTTCTTGTTTATGGAGCTACTTAACAAGTCTTTCTTCTTTGACTCTGGTTTGCTGATGGAAACTGCCAATTCGTCTTTGTCTAACTTTGTAGTTGTTGAGTTCTCTTCATTCTGGTTGTGTTCAACAGCAGAGGGGACTTCATTTATGGTCACAGTAAGTGATTCATTCTTCAGTTCGCCCACTGGTGTTGGACTCTGAATTTCACCTGAGATTGAATCAAGCGGAACAGCACTCTGTGCGGTTGGTGGAATGATATTCCCACCACCACTTGGGGGCAAGGCATGGATCTCATTTGCATACTCTGTTGTGGATGACACACTCACATCTGGAACATTACTTGGCTCTACCAGAAGTTTGTTTTCTATGTCAGTAAACTCGTGTGGCTTCTCAAAAGCAGTGCTGCTATGGTCAATGACTCCAGTCACAAGGCTACCAGCTGAGCCAAGGACAATGGATTCTGTAATGGATTTGTGATCACTTTGTGTGGATGAAACATTATGAAGAAGTGGTCTCACTGTGTTTATGTGTTCTTCGAGTTTACTGAACAGGTGAAGATCAGCATCTTTAGCTTCATTGTCACTTTCTAATGGTGTCTCAGTTGTCCTATTGGCAGTAATTATCATTTCTTCAGTCTTGTTCATCGTAACTTCTTGGTGATGCAGCAGCATGTCTGGGGAAGTGGATGAGGTCCCAGCCTCACCTGAACTCACATGGAGGAGGGGGGGACTCGTCTTCTCACTCATTGTAATATTGTTGACCGCATCATCCTTCTCGGTCTCATCTGTCGAATCAGTGGTCGTTGCCGAATCTTTGGGCACTGCTGACATGTTCATTTCTCTACTTTGTGTCAAATTCTGTACAGTAATTGTCAGTACTTCATTCTCTGGTTTCTTATTTTCTGGCATTTCTGTTATGCCAGCTTCTATCTTCTGTTTCTTGCCATTTGTGTCTGCTGAAAAGATGTAATTTTCATCATGAGGACGAGCAGTGGTTATATCATTTGCTTCTGGGCTTGACTCACTCAGAAGTGTCGATGAGTTGTCGGCTGTCGATATGTGGACAACTGACTGTGTTGTTAGACTGTCAGCTGGAGATGCAGAGCTGTTTTCTGCATTGTTAAACATACCCCTAGTTGTTGTGTCCACAGATTCCATTTTTGTGGTTATCTCAACTGATTGCTCTAGGTCCACTACTGTTCCATTGTTTCTCAAACCAGTGTTGGTGCCTGTATCTTCATACAAGTTTCTAGGGAGGCCAGTTTCATTGTCATGATGTTCTAGGAGAGGAGCCACTGTCAGTGCGTGAAAAATTTCATGCTCTGTTGTTGTGGTGAATAAACCCGGATGCAACAGTTCACCTTCCTCAATCGTATTCTCCCCAGAAGATGAACTGATGTTGCTCTCACTAGAATTACTGGAATCATGTACAAGGATTGATGAAGTGAAGTTGCTCTTGGATGCCATAAATGAGTCTGACTCAAGCAGCGTGGTCACTTCCACATCTTGAATTGTGCTATCAGTTGTAACCTGGTCAGGTTTCATATCAGGAATTTCTGTACCAAACAAATCAACACTTTCTTTCAAGCCCGGTATGGATATTTCAGTGGTGGTGACTATAACCGTGCCTTCAGACGCGCCTTGTGACACAGCGCCCGACAACATGTCATCTGGCAGGTCTTGTTTATTGCTCTCCTTCATCAACTGAGACAAATCATTTTTGTCAGGTCTCAGTGTAGTTTCCCCAGCTGTAGTTTCAGTAATGTTTCCCTTTCTGCCATGCAAAATGCCAGTTACAACAGATTCATCCTCTGTCTTGTTTGCAGCCTCAAATGTTTCAGTCCCATGTTCAGGAACTTCCGTTGCAGATATAAAGTTAGGATGTAAATTGTCATTGAATACAGATGGGAAACGTTCCTTTTCGGAAGTGCCAACCTGTTCAGGAGACCGCTCTGTGATGGGAATTGCTGATGAGACAGCAACTGATTCAGAATCATGAACAACCAACGGAACACTTTCACCCGTTGGATCACCGGTAACTGTGTGATAAGGCTCCTCATTTGAATTCACGTGAAACATTTCATCATCAAGTCGTGGACCCTTCTTCAGATCTGTATTGTGAACACCTGTTGCATTTTGTGCTGGTTTAGGAGCAACCGTGACCGCCTGCAAAGGACGCCTCTCATAATCTTCAGGCGACAGGGCATTGAGTGTGTCATTTTCTGTGTGCCCCAAATCAGAGAAGTACACATCATTATACAATAAACCTGCATGTCTATGCTCCTTGCTGTCTGGCACTTCTGTCAGTGGAATAGAAGCCATTCCATCATGACTACCATGCATCATTTCCACAGTACTCTCCGTGCTTGGAGTCAACATATCTGCATGACCAGCTCTCAGTGAGTCATTATGATCTGCATCATTAACTTGAACAATTCCGACAGGGACATCTGTTGCAGGAGACTTGGAAGAACTGGCTTCTGCCTCGTTCTCCATCTTGATATCATGATATATGAATGGAGGTTCTTCTGCACTATTTTCTGATGGTTCCTCAGTACCTAACTTCTTGCTTGTAGAATTCTTCAGTTCTTTGGTCCTGTTTTCATAAGCAATGTGGGCAACACCTCCTTTCTTTTCCATGTCAAAAGGATAATCTGTCGGATCTGCCTCATTTTCAGCGTGCTCGCCAAAAGGTATTACCGTATGATGTTCCTTGTGGTCTGACATCACAGGCATGTCTGTTGTAATAATTCCACCTGTGTCATCATGAACTTCATTAGAAGGCGAAAACATACCGGAATGATCTGTTGAAGAATCGATGATATTATGATCGTGTGGTGTGAGAGACCCTGGACTTTGGGAACTCACTGTCACATCACTCTTATAAATTGTGTGTCTGGTGACCAGCTCATCAGGAAATTCAGTCATGAAATGTTCATGTGGAGAAAGTTTATGAGGAATTTCAGTCACATGACTGCTGTTGCCTTCAGCAACGCTGACTACTAAAGTCTGGGTTTCTTTGTGGAAGTGAGGAGATGGGGTTGGTCCAAGTTCTTCACCATGAAGCTCATGATCACCCACAGGAGAGTACGTGGTGTGTTCTGGATGTGTCATATCATCATAAATCACTTGAACTGATGCTGGAACGTCTTGAAAATGCTTGTGAGGAATTTCTGGCATTACAGTACTATTTCTTTCAGCACTTTGAAATTTGAGCAGGTCATTTTCTCTCTCATACTGAGGTAACGATGTTCGTGCAAATTCATACTCTGGTACAATGTCTGGAGCCTGCGAAACAGACACATTTTCTGATTCTGAAGTACCCATTACAGTCGTCACAGGAACATGTTCACCAATATCGTGATCATGGCCATGTTCATGATAACCATGGTTAACGTTGTGTTCAGTAGATGATGGTAAATCTGTAGCTACTTCAGGCATGTAGTTAGGATGCCATGATGATGAATGATGTGACTGAAATGTGGTATGCTCTGGCAGTGGACCAATCTCATGCCCCATATCATAGCTGCTCGGTGGTGTTGTGGAGACAGCAGAAGTTTTGGCCGGTTCAGCTGCTTCTGTGGCTGGTTCAGGTTCAGGCGATGGTTCAGGTGATGGTTCAGGCGATGGTTCAGGAACAGGTTCTGGTGCAGGCTCATGACTGTGTGTTGGTGATTCCTCCATTTCCACTGGAACTAAACAGATGAATGTAGCAGCAACGTGTTGTTGCAGAATACAGACAAATGACACACAAATAGCAGCTGCAGATATTACACTAGGGATACAGTAAGGTGCCTAATGAAAGTGAGAGAATGGTCAAGGCTTCATTTAGCTACTAGAAAGAAAAAGAACAAGGAATATCATTAAAACTCTCTGGTATGATAGCCAATCCACAGCTGATAACCTATTTCATGTAATTTTACAACACTTACTTGTAATTATAGCTTACCAGTATCAGTACAGTTTCTGCCACTTGAATCTAGATACAGTCCAGCGGGACACGTGCACACAAATGTCATCTTTTGGCGATAGTCGAATGAACAGTCGTGTGAACACTCCCCATTGTTGAACTGACATGTGTCAAGCAAACCTGTATGAGACAGCAGCACAAGGTACAGTCTGTTCAGAAAATTCCTGAAAGTACAGATGCTTATAGAACAGCTGGCTGCCTGCGAGTGCCCTTTTTCCAGCCCCATAACACAGAGACTCAAACGTAAAAGTCTGTCCTTCTTGGAATGTGTGAGATTAATTAATGGAAAGACACAATGAGTACCAGCCTCATAGCTTTTATATTCATGTTTAACATTAAAATTATTTTGCAGAATTTATGGTATTATTAATTATCTAAAATCACCCTTTCTTTACATGTTCACAATAACACCAACACTTTCTGACAAATTGATGTAATTCATATCACAAACGTAAGGGAACAGTAAACACCTTACGATTCAAATGACAGCATACGAGCTGGATATTGTAAAGTTCTCCAACACCAAGTGAAGAAAACAACAACAGACAGAGTTAAGGAATGAGAAAGTATTCACGATGACTGACGCAGATTTGATGAAAACATAACCACGACTTAAAATTTTAACATAGAATTAGATATAAATGTGCAAAATGTTCACATGAAAGACGTCTACAATTATTTATCAACTGTTAGCTTACACCAAACTGAAAATCAGCTCTTCATTTATACCTTTATTTTCAGAAACACGCCTATCACATAAATGACGATACACATAAACTGTGCCCAAACAGGAAATCTGTACGCCAAAGGAATTTGCTCTTGAATCTCAGAAGGCAATGAAATTAAAAGGTGAATTTCAGTTAAAATCTGCATAAGAAGTTTAATTATGACTAGTGAAGTGTTTCCTAAAACTGTTAGCACAGATCAGACACAAGCTAATCTGTGAAAACCCTTTCATGCACTAAGATACTACAAATGTGCGCTACTAACGGCTGGCCCGTACGGATCCCGTCGGAATGTGGTACGTGCCCAACGAGTCTCTGTGCAAGTTGAGTTGCCTTTCCAACCGCTGTCGCACTGCATCCTTGTCTATTGGGTCAGGCGCCTTCCTGATGCCTTCCTTGAACTCCCAGCCGATGCGGAACTTAACCACCACGCTGCCAGGGCTATTGGAATCAAATGCAAAATTAACAAACATGAACAACATCAAGTCGATGTTCCTAGTCTCTGGTGATCTTGTTATTTATCATAGAATCACAGCTGAAACAGACAGGAAATTTACTTGTAAACTGTGTTTCTGTTCCGAGTCAGCCATGAAACTTGACGTGAACACTGGCATGACAGATCTCCCCACCTTTTTAACTTAATGGCAGATGGAAATGCTAACAATGTCCATTGTAATAGATTAAAAATTCCTTATACCAATAAATGTTCAAAAAAATATGCAACGTTCATTAAAGTAAGTTACAGAAACATGTAAAACAGTAAGACAGCGACTGAGTGAAAAACTGATTAAGAGCTTCTAGATCTCAGCCTCTGGAATCTTAAAATGTTCCACACTGATCACAACTGCTCTTAGCACACGTCTTTACTTACGAAAATCCGACGACTTTGACGAAAATGTCTGCTGCGCCATACTTGAGGGTCTGCGCGTCAAACAAAGCTTTCTTCAACTGAAAGCAAATACAAATCTCCATCAATTCCCCCTTTGCTAATTATTTTGTACAAATTCTGATACACACTACATCTGAAGATATACATATCAAAATATGCCGACCGTTAGACTGAATCACTGTATCATGACATAACGACTGCTGAGTCACTTATGTCACCCACTGAGAGGAGAAAAACAGTCCAGAGAAATTTTAAATTTTAAATTTGAAAGGAAGGGCATAAAATACGTGCTATTAACTCATAATCTTAGGGAGATCGCACGGAATGGCATTTTGGCGTAACTTGCTATTCAAAGCTAACGTCTTGGTTGTCAATATCTGAACCACTCTCACAAAACATACTTCGTTCTTAACAATTTTTCAAATGATCCAGATACATGCGTGGAGCATCAAATAAATCGTCAGTCAGGATGCTCATCCTCCAGCCTGAGAATCTTCAAGGTACAAATCAGGGGTGGTGCCATTTGGTGCAGGAGGCTGGCATTTACCTTAGACCACAACATCTCCCGTACTGCACTTCCCTTGTAAAAGGCATTAATCTCAACACCTTTAAAATTCGTATTACATGAAGCACGCCAAGTAACTTGTAAGTCAGTCAGTGTTCAAATCAACAGAAAGTACAGTCCAGAACAGAAGCTGCTGCAACTCACTTCTTCCTCCACAGAAGCTGACAGCTCCCGGAATTCCTCAGACCCACTCACGGACAATCCCGGGTTGAATTCCAAGCTGTCGATCACAAGTTCACCCTCCAGCACTCTGGGAACTGAAAAAGCATGAAAATACTAAGAAATGTGGGCCATATTTAATTAGAAGACAAATCATTGTGTTGAAGACACCATAGTTGGTACTGTTGCAGATCTGCGGTGTGAGGACGCACACTCAGCCCCAAACGTAAACTTACTTGCAGGTAAAAAGACCATCACCACTCACCATACAGCTGAGACAAGTCGGTGGTTGGCATACTTGGGGCACTGGGTTGTAAGGGCGGAGGAGGCGTGAAAGATGATACTTCTGGAGGTGGCATTTCACTTCTGCCTCCAGCCCGGTCTAAACTGCCTCCCGCGTGTGGACCGTCATTACCGCTGCTACCGAGCTGACGACTCGTTTCAGTCTTCTCAGTGACGAGCGTCTGGCTCTCCTGAGACAGGATCACTCCAGCTGCGACAGCAAGTCGGGTTCTCCAATGGAGTATAAACGTTTTACTGATGTCTTAAGAGCAGTTCTGCATACCTCATTAATATTTATATTTATTTATTCGTGATTTATTTAATGATGCTCTCGGTGGATCACAATCACATGATACTTCATGAATAATAAATATGGAAAGAAGCAGCTATGACCTAATTCAAGGTACTATTCCAGCATAGAGCAACCACAGATAAATACAAGCTGCAACAAAATGCGTAAATAAATATCGTAAGCAGAAACAATCTGAAGCCAGGTTATTAATCACGCAAATGAGAAAATGTATGTTATGTATTTGCGAAAACATTTCTTACTACAAAATATTTTCAATTTAATACTTACCATAAGCGAAATATGTTTTGTGTTCGTGTACTTTAAACTCATGACATTGGATGGGTGCGAAATTCCAAATACTTTCATATTATACAGCGCTCTGAAGAACATCTTTAAAAATGATCTGACCAAGTCATGGTTTGGAACTAATGCCACTGTGTAACGTCTGCATACTCACTTCCTGCTAATACAGCTATCAAAATGGCTACTGCGAGTAGAACAAATCCGATGCCCCAACAGATACATCGTCTCCATGACTGTGATCGCCTCTTGTCCTTGGTTACATAAAGCTTCTCGCCCCTGGAAACAAAACCAAGATTCCGTACATCACGTTACACAGGACGGTGCAGCGGACACAGAGCAGTTGCACTGAACCGGTTTCTTTTAAACAAAGAGTGGACCATACAGTGATGAGTTTCTGCAGTTCACTGACCTGAAATCTGCTGGAACCAAAATATGAAAGACTTTGAGGAAACGGCACATTTAATATGAAGATCCCACAACAAATTTTTTCATCCACGGTCTAATTGATTAAGTAAAGTTACTAAAAAATTTGGCACAACAATAACAAATCAAAATGACACTCATGAGGAAGTTAGGAGGAGATTAAATTCTGGAAATGTTTGCTACTTCTCAATTCAAAATATTTTGGCTTCCCGTCTGATTTCTAAGAACCTGAAAATTAAAGTATGCAAAACTGTAATCTTGCCTGTTGTTTTGTATGGGTGCGAAACATAGTCTCTCACTCAGAGGGAGGAACACAGATTGCAGGTGTTTGAGAATCGGGTGTTGAAGATATTTGGGACTTGGAGAGAAGACGATGGGGCGTGGAGAAAACTGCATAATGACGAGCTTAAAAATCTGTACTCCTCCCCCAATATTGTCAGGGTGATTAAGTCGAGAAGAATGAGATGGGCTGGGCATGCAGCGTGCATGGATGGGGCAAGAGGTGTGCACCGGGTATTGGTTGGGAAGCCTGAGGGGAAGAGACCGCTGGCGAGACCTAGACGTAGATGGGAGGATAATCTCCGGCGGGATCTATGGGAGATAGGAGTTGAAGGAGACTGGGTCCGGTGGAGGGCTTTGGTTAATTTGGTGATGAACCTTCTGGTTCCGTAAGCCATCTAGTTAGTTGGTTAGTTATTGAGTTCTGATGAGCAGCCCTGCTTGAGTCAATCTTGTATCCTTCAATTTTAAAGGAACTCACCACCAGTTCTCTGCTTCCTTGACACAGCTGTCAGGATCATAATACACTTTCTAGGGTAAATCAATACATTTTATTTTATTTTTTTATTATTGTACTGCAAAACTGACAACGCTGAGAGAAAAGACGATAACAGATTAATATGAATTTCGTTCACTTTCTGGAACTCAGTGGCTAAATGCATGAATAGTGTTAAATATGCTGAAAATCAATGTGACGGAAGGAATCGACACCGCAAACACTGGTCCTCGCCACACGAAGGGGTCCTGGGACGATTACACCCTCACAATCTACTTCACTAAAATCCTCTTTAAGATTATAATCTCATCTTCTTTGCCAAGTGAATGATTTCCGCAACAAAATTTTCTACACATTTTGTTTGCTTCTCCTGTCCCTTCCAGACCTAGTGAGTGAACTTTCGAATGTGACATCACCCGTAAAGCTATGCAAGAAACATGGATCTTCAAATGAACTGAATGCAGAACACAAGTCAAGCATAAAACATGCAGATGCAATGTTAGTGTCAGGTTCCAAGGTTGACTTTGTCAGGCACAGCACGCACCCATGCACTCAGCGCCACCAAAAAAAGAACAAAGGAGGCCATGTTTTTGTCTCATCACCGACTAAAATTCATTATCATTCCTGAATGACCGATAAGCCAATTTCCTTCAAGATCTTGTGATAATAAAGAGTTTTAATCACGTCACAAACTAATGTAATAATTCCTGCTTTATGATGTCACATGAATCTGGAAAAGTACCAGAAGTCTTCAATGGCTTTTAAATTTTTGTAAATGAAAATATTTGAAAACTGGCGGCACTGACATTAGGAGAAAATATGGCGATTGTAATGACGTCATTGAACAAGCATATTTTATGTGCACAAATGATGGTTTCAAGGCAAGGAATCTCATCATGTTTCACCACACAAAATCTGCAACCTCCAGGAAAAACCAAGTCGCAGGACCTTCTCAGAGACGTCTTACGAACACAAGATCTTGAACAGGATTTTTGAGGTTAGAAACGGGATAAATCTGCCACTGACCCATTTTCCAAAGCGTAACTGTGGGGAGGTGAGGCACCCCTTTCCAAATAAATACCCAATGATATGAAGCCTGTCTAACCTCACTGCCACCTGCATCCAATCGCGGTACTCGACGAGCCCTTCCAGGGGCGGACTCACGGAGAGTCCTGATCGATCGACCCCAGAACTTGTCACTCCCTTGTCGTTCCGGGGGAGGACGAACGTTATAGATCGAGGAGGCCGTGTTGACAGTGGGGGTTCGTCCTCAAAGGTCCCCTGGGGACCGCTGTGGACAAGAGTGCGTGTCTGTGCAAAGTCAAGGATGAGTTAAACCCACTGCAGTTGTACAGAGCAGTAACACCAACCACTTGCTTCTTTGGACGAGAAAAGTGGCTTTCATACACGAAAATTTACCTCCTGTTCTGCATTGGTCTCTCTCACAGTAAGAGTACAACACGTAAAATGCTAATTATAGCGCGTTCCTTGCACTTTAGGAGGATATCTGTACGTAACAGAGTGAAAGCTGTTGTTCTGAAATCGCTGAAACCCGACATAACAGACGACCTGTCTGGGATTCGAACCGGCAATCTCCCGAGTGCTTCGTATTCTGAATTTCACGGATCGTCATGGCTCTTCAAATAAAACCGTGGGGTTGGTGCCTTAAGAGACGTCACAGCATTTCCAACACCTCATTCACAAAATTTCTCCCATTCGGCATCACGAACAGCGACGTTCAATTAATTACAAACACATTTCATTGTCTTTTATACCTAAATTAGAAGGAAGGACGCCAATTGGAGACAGCAGAGTAAGTTGAGAAGAGCTAGTGTTACTATGGCAACGTGTGGGTGTATGTAAATTTGACGAAAATCGCAAAGGCCTTCGACCAGCACAAGTGGACATTGGCAAACACCTGCTAACCCAGATCGGGAGGGGGGGGGGCTCTCCTCTTGGTCCACAAAGAACTCATCATCTCGATCAATGATGTCGCCGATCGACAGTTTCAAAGACGTGTAAAATGAATTACTCGGCGTTCGCTGTCGGACACACGCCAGCATTTTAGGACATCTTGCTGCGTTGCGTACTACCACGCGCAGGCGAACGAAGTCTAGCCGAAGAGGTGGGAGAGACCCAGAGGCCCCGAAGTGCAATCTGCTAACACGATCATCAGGTTCTCTTAACCTAGTGGCACACTTCGTCAATTCGTGCGTCGTTACCTTCTCCGACGGCTGTGACACTTGGAGAAGAATTCTTCTACATATTCGAAATACCGATTCAATCTGGAGGCACAGCACATCGGCGTTCTCATCTTTTATCAAAAATTATTCCTAGGTTGGTAACCCTTCTTAAAATGATTTAAGCCTGTTTGCAAGTGTCTAATTATATTGTTCTTGCCGTCTGTTACAAGCTCGTTAATGACATACATTCTCTTCCCTGATCTCAAATACCTTCAGTCTGTGCAAGAGGTAGACATACAAACTATCGACTCAGTTCTTAATTCCCTCCCTCGCTAGATTTGGAAATGCCACGAGGAAGGCGAGATCCATAAAACGTGGCTGTTTCCGCCTTCTGTTATCAGGCACCCGCACATTTCCGGTGCCCCGACGTCAACTCACCTCATGTACTTCCGGTGCTCGTTCACCGGAACGAAGTAGTCGTCGTACGGGTCGCTGTAGTCGGCCGGCTCGCCGTCCGTCTTCACTGGAATCCCGCTGCCGCCGTTCTTCTCCGCGTTCTCCAGCGGATTCATGTTCACCAGCTCCAGGTTCACGGCCTCGGCCACTTCCTTGTCCTTCCTCTCAGTCAGCATCGTCGTGTCCACGGCCGAGCAGTTCAGGAACGAGGCGTTTCCGTTAGACGGAGAAGTCACGGAGATAAAAATGCCGTCTCCGTTACCGACCGTCGCGGGCCGCTCCTCTTCTTCGAACCCCGGGTTGTCGATCCCCGCAGATCTCCCGCCATTCTTGACCTCGTTAGAGATCATCATGACGGTGCTGTTTCTCTTGCCGATCACCGGCGATCCATCGTCTGGCGGTGACCGGTGATTTCGATGCACGACCTGCGGACTCGTGTCGCCGGCCTCGACACTGTGGCCCTGCCTCTCCTGTTGGCCGTCGTGAGTTGTTGGTGTTGGAGGAGGCGGTTCTTGGGGCCTCGTGATGATTGTTGTGGCGCTCGTGGGGACTTCTGTCAGCGAGATGGTGGTACCACTGCTACCCCCACTGGAGGAGCTCATGTTCTCTTCGTTTGTGTCCAGGATGACGATTAAATTTTACAGTGGGGAAATTTAAACGTGTAAGTTGGTAGTCCTTACTGATGACTACCGCCAGTCATGGAGACGTGTTGTTCTGCTGAATCATTCATTGGTGGTGGATGACTGCTATCCTTAGCACACTTCCTGAAACAGAAGTGGACAGATCAGTCAGACCATGCAAGGTTTATCGCGAACACACAAAAGCCACGTATTAAACGCGATCCAAGCTCCTCCGATCGCTCTGCCATCTACCGGTGTCCGGCGTAGTAAGAACGCGCCGGATTTTGGTCGTACTCTCATCGTCTTTTCCCGGAATTCAACCGCCTGCAGGATACTTCGTCCGTCCAGAGTTGTCAGACCTTTCAAACAAACCCGATCTACGTTCGGCCAATGCAATGCCACCTACATCACTTCCGGTCACACATTTCAACAGATGTTGAATGGCTGGGCGAACAAGCGAAGGTCGACCGATAGGCGTCACTCTGCAGCTCAGACAAATGTAACATGGCGCCGCGTCACGGGACATCGTTAGTCTCGGCTGGATGCACCGCTCGATCGGAGAGGTCTTCCTGAAGGGACTACCAGCTTTCCAGTGAGGACTCATCCATGGACTTTGGTAGCCAGTATAAAGAAATATATTCATCCGCAGATGAACCCGACACGTGCTTATTGTGAAGTACATTGGCACACGTCAGAATACCAACAGCAGGACACAGCCGAGATCTGTGGATCTGAGAGTATGCTTAAAGCCATTGGGTCTCGGGGCCAACCGGTTAAACTGCCTCGGGACACGGTTCGATGAGACTGTGTGACGACGTCAAACCCCGATTTTCCATAACAACACATCCAATTCACTGCGCCTCGTTGAAGAAAAAGTCGTCTACGCAAACTCATTTATACTACCCGCTTGACACAGGTGTCGGAGAAGTTGCCGCATCGTCACGGCTACTGGAGCGAATTTCATGCCGCTCAGTGAAAAGTTTCCATACGGAATTTGTTAATCGCTGGTGACCCACATGGATAATGCAGACAGTTACATCGGATATAGCAATTAATTTGTGTGCGAAACGTGAAGTAGTAAGGCATTGTACTCGGAAAATAATTGCAGTTTCTCATCGCCCTGGAAGTGAAATCCCAACGGCTACAGCGCTCTTTGGTAACCAGAGACAGCCCGAAACAGGAAGCATTCAGTCAAGAGGAGACCGTTCACAGTGCCATGCACTCCCACACCGCTTATTAAAACCGCTTCACAGAATTCATTTTGGGAATTTTGATCGTGAATATGGTTTGAGAAAATCCTTGCAGCGAACGGCCAAAACACTGTCACATAACATGCCGAACGCATTATCCGTTGAAGACTTCGCCCAGTCCTGTGAGCGAGCTACGTTCTGGTAAACGATTATGCAAAACTCGATTAACCAGGCCCTCGTAATTCACATCAAACTGTCATCGCTCTCCGCAAATAACACGGGAGACTGAGACGTAAACCCGTCGCGTTCCGTCACGTAATTCGGTAACCGCTGCGCAGTCCTATTCACCGCGTCGTCTGTGGGTCCGGTTACGACAAGTGGAGAAGCGAGGAATGTCCGTCCACTTTCACCAGCTGCCTTCCATTCTTAAGACATTCCATTGGCTTCGAACCCAGGCCAGCCCCTGATTCTTCCGAAGACGCGCGACAGGTTTCACTTTCTTACCTCAGTTTCGCCGGCTGGCGACTTGCTCAGACGCCGACATTCCAAGGACACGGCAGGCGCTTGGTGGCACGATCACGCGATTTGCAAAAACAGATTCCTACACTGAGCTGCCTGGCGGTTAACAAAGAAACAACGCAGACAGACGGCCCAGTTTCGTAGCGGGCCCTCCACAAATCTCCCTCATCGAGACCTCGGGGCGTAGGGAACTGTCAACCGGGGCACCTAGATGGCCTGCGCGCTGCTGCTAGGATCTCGAACAGGACTTTGCTGAAATGTTACCGAGTAATGCCTGCAATGTGTTCTAAACGTGTTATCACCAGAATTATCAGAAAACAATAGGAGAAAAATGCTGGTAATTAGGACTAATTACGTTGTGTTCCCAATGCCTTCTTCGGTTTGTTGAAGAATTGGGACAAACACCGTATTTAACGCATTTATTTTCAAACTAAATGTCGCTTAAAATATAACACAAATTTTGAAGTTCCGATCATCATTTACAGCACAGCAGGGCGAAGTACCCTTAAATTTAAAATGCAAAATGACTCCGAACTTTCGGCTTCAACAATAAACAGAGTTTTAAACATAAGTCGATAAGAAATAGAAAGGCTGTTTATTTTAGTTCTTGAGCTGTTAAAACCTCTTGTCAGTTACGACATCAAAGACCGCTTTCATCACATCACTTGTCGCCGCCCTGCTGAAATCTTCAGCTCTTACTGAGTGGCCGACAACACTCACCACCCAACCTGTCCAAAGCTGCCCTGTTACATACAGTACTTTAAGTTTCATCGCCACTGCAGCAAAAGTTCACAAACCCGAACGTCCCTTCAACACAATATAGCGACTGGCTTCGGACCTATGACCGTGGTTCGATTCCAGGCAGAGATGCAGGGACCTCTTCCGTTCCACCGCCTCTGGGAACCACCCAATGCTTACAGGGATAACGCGGTCATAGCCTGAAGCTGACCACTCATACCCAACTCTTGCCACGGCTCGGTCCTTTGCCAATCGCGGCCGCCAGTATATCAACCTCCTTTCCTATTGGTCATTCATCTCAATACAGCTGTATCACTGAACCGTCCGATAGGTTAGTCTTCTTTCCCACCATTGAAGTCTCCAGTCTTCTCCAATGACATCATTCACTAAAACGAAGACACAAGTCATCCACCCAGGCGTTATGGGTGCACATGAATGTTTAAGGATACGAACAACAGATCATAAGTCACAAGAAGCAGCGAGCATAGACCGTCCGTCAGCCCGGTGCTGGCAACCATCACAAGGTCGACTACATTCTGACTGCTTTTGTTCACCTCCTCTATTATCTGTCTGGCTTCAGCACCTCGCCTGCCGTCAGTCAGCGAATCTGAAGTTCACAAAAGGTCTCAATGTCTTCGGAGTCGCTGACTAAATGAAAATCGATTTGTCCGAGGCCTTCGACGGGGCGTGTCACTAACTGACGCGTATTCTTGGACATTTCCCTTCAGAAAACAAGACTTTTCGGAGGATGGGTATGATTCTATCCTGAGGCGAGACTATACGATTTAAACCAGTCGGGTTCATTGGAAAAAGGAAACTGCGTGAGCATGTGGACAGGAGTGATTCGGCAGCAATAAAAATTCAGGTCTCACAGAAGTCGGAAAATTTCCCCAGGATCTGAGAGACATTAAGTTCTCAAGGACAACCATGGTCCGTAGTAATACTTTCCAGTCGAGTCTACGACGCATTCCCACATTTGGTAGAACTAGTCTACGCCAGCAACAGGAGGTGGCAGGAAAAGTAGCTCGCGTTTGTTCATGCCGCCATCTTCGAAATCCCTTCAACCTGTCACCAATCCACTGAAGAAGAACTTTCGTTCGCAGCAGCCAGTCGCTGGGCGGCCTACTACGGCGATTATGAAACTCGCTGTAGGTCGTGATCAGTCAGTCGCCCTAGCACGAGCGCAGCTTTTACCTCGTTCACCGAACACATCAGAGTTTGGACAAACCACTCAGGCGATCTGAGGAGTGCAGAGAAAGAGTTTTGGCAATGCAGCGAAACGACCGATTCCAAAGGACGCTAAATAAAACACAGAAGACTATTTTAATTGTATGGCCCAGCTTAGCGAAGAAACTTTCCGCCTTTCAAATCCCACGAGGGTTCATTCTCGCTGCTGGCCCCTGTCCTGAGTGAAATCGGTTTTTTAACGTGAGAGTTAGGGCTCTCACGACGGCGAAGATGTGGGTGTCGTTATTGTGGGTTGTGACGCCTTGTCTGTGGAATCGTACGTAAATACAAACATTTCGGAAACATACCGCCTCCATCTTCAGGTGCGAACAAATACGTTGCTCCAGTGCATTGGTACGCGAGTTCACGAACTGCGTTAAAGAAGAACGACACCGACGGTTTATGAATGTCCGTTTATTTCGCGACGCTGTAGCAACTGTTGTGGTTATGCAGACTTAGGCGAGGTATGAAGGACTACGGACAACAGCCAGGATAGTCCGAGATTGCAATCGGCCGCTCGATACAGACGTCGAGTAAGCCCGATGCCCTCCTGAAGGATCCATCTTGTTTCCCGTCACATTTAACGCTTAAAACAACGGAACTTGTAATATACATGAGACAATGGAAATATATAAAAAACCAAAATGCAATTCTTGCAGAAAGGAAAATTGTGAATCTTATACTGTATACGTTTCTTTTCATTTGGAGTGTATTAATCAGCAAAAGCACGGAGTTTCTTCTGCATAAATGCTTTTTGTATGTACAGAAGAACGCGCGATTTCTTATCGCCCTGTACCGCCAAGTCACGAAGTCGCATTTTCAGCTCATCTCCCTCCCGCCCACGAGAGCCCGCGTCTTCCTGACTGCCCGCAGCGTTCAACTGTTCAAGGATGAAGCCCAACGCGACCGAACTCACGAGGAATGGAGGTTGAAACAGATGCCTCGATTCAGATATCAGATCAGGCCTGCCTCAGCGGTGTGCACACAAGGCAAACAACTCTATGTCCCAAAAAACCTCGCAGCCCCGTCTACCTAATTACGTACTCACTGTAACGAGATTGGAACGATTTCCCAATGAAGAATGACAGACTGAGATGTCTGTGAACAAGGCGCTGACGTCACAGATAAACCAACACGTTTCAAAGTCCTGAACGATACATTTCTGTAGGTAGACTCGACCAAGTTTACTGCACAGCTGAAACACACGTTTCGCTCACGACATCACCGCCCGGCTCTATGGATAGTGTCACTGCGCTCATGTTACTGCTCCGTTCAGTCAGCACGAGGAACGTGTCTGTCTGTCTGTCTGTCTGCATTTCTGCATGCGATCAGTGCTCCACCTCGCAACATTACGATGCAGGACTTTCAAATTAGCCACTGGGGCGCAACGACGCGGTTATCGGCTCTCAGAACAAGCTGAAAACTCCCACGTCGTCCGTGTAAACTCGGCGCAAAGGGGAGACGCTTCAATTGCATCGCAAGGCCGTAGTTCCTTCAACTCGCGGAAATCTGCTTACACCCACGCGGGCTCCTGCGAACTCAATGATGAATATTCAGGTTCAAGAAGATTAATTTCTCGACCTAAACAAACATCAACTTTAACGAGAAAGACTTTGCTTCATTCAGGAAGCCCAAATAGGCCCCTTATGCTCGTAAGCTGCCAGACATAACCTCACATGCTACGTTCTCACAACAAGCTCAAACGGTTCATTATTTACGACTGCGCAAGACAAAGGCCGATTCACATTCTACAAAGGACGAAGTTGAAAAGTGAAACAGATTTTAATCGATGTTCTTTCAAGGTGTTTCGCCACAGATTACAAAGACAAGGGAACGAGTTCGAACATTGCTGAGTGCACGCAAACGTCGGGTTGCACTTCTCAAGCCAAAGGCGCATTCACTCGAGGCAGGAGGACTCGTGCACTTCCTGCTTCACGAAGAAGCGACACCCTTGTCCCCTTCTAGCAACGCGCACTCAGCCAGGCTGTCAGTCCAACACGGACGGAGCTGCTCGACTTTTTCTGTTCTTGGAAAATACTGCACGTCCTCTGTTTCCGTACCGCGGTCTTACGACGTATTTACAAACGTTTCGTAAGATTCTGACCTCGTCACAAAGAAACGGCTTCCAGCGGCAGTCGGAATCCACACAACCAGCCCCGTCCCGCCCCGAGAACGACGGCACATGCGTGTTTCAATGAGCACAAACAATCTGCAAGTGGAAAGCGTGTGGAATTTCTGTTGTATTTTCTCACGGCATCTCCACATTCCGACCAACAAGAATGAGTACGACCAGGCTGTTAATTGATGCCAGTATCACGTCGTTGAGTTTCTTGCGGGAATCTCGTTCCTCTGGGGTATGTGTCCGTCCGTCTCGGAGCAGCAAACTGTGATTCGTAACATCACTGCCTCACTCTCAGTGCATTATCTACTGTCTCGTAAATCCCTGGAACGCTTAAACGGTTTCATTTAGTTTTATTATTTATTTATTTATTTAGTGTTGTGTCTGAGGACAGGTCCATATGAACAGGATCCTTCCATCCTTTTCTCTTCTCGGACTGGGACCTGTTCATATACGTTCTTGGCAGACGATCCAGAAGTGGTTTGCCATTGCCTTCTTCTGTGTGTGAATGGAGTAATTGTTGGGATGCCACGGAGGAAAACTCCGTGTTGCCTAGACCACGGCCTTGCCCAACACAAGTTATAAATTCGGGCACCGCCGGGAATCGAACCCGAGACCCCAGGATTACAAGGCCAGCGTCCTAACCGCTAGACCACCGTGGCGGGTCATTTAGTTACAAACTAATAAAGAAGCCGCATGTTTAATTACGCACCTCGCCTCTAAGACTCATGGGGGGAGCACAGACATGCCCCAAGCATTCTTAAGCTGGACACTCGTTGGACGCTTCGGTCACAAAAACTGCCCTCCGTTAAACATTTTATGAGACAGGAGGGTAGGCAAAGCCGACACAAACTAGAGGACCCTGCTGGCACCATCTGGCATTCGAATTCCGGGGTGTTGCTGTCTCACAAAAGCCTTGAAATTCCCAGCCAGCTACTTGTTGAAAAACTCTAGTACGCTGTTTGTGACTCGAGGCGTATTTATCATAAACTTGCATTCCTGTTGAGACACCGATTTGTTACTGCAACGCTCAAATAACTGCCTTGTTTCAATATTTGTCCGATTGCTATGGCGAAATGAGTCCGAACCTACGTCACGTTGCTTTGTGTTCTGGTGTCGAAATCAAAGTTTATGAAACAGAATGGGATCGTTGTCTCGGTGAAAACTGGAATCGGAGACAAGTTTTATTTTTAGTTCATTGCTCTCTTGTGTGAGGGGAGGCTGGCTTATTTTTGCGACTGACTCTCGGTGGAAAGTGACCACGACGGACTTGCGGGCGTGACGTCCAGCAGTGAAAGTACCCGCTACTTGCGAAACGCGCCACAAGGGCTGGCCAGCGCTGTGATCGCACTCTACAGCCATCGACGGCTTCAAACCGAACAACATTTGCAAAGAAATGCTCAGAAGGGTCACCGAGCGCCTCGAAGCCTCACGCCATAAATTCCGAATCGACAGACAGAATTTAATAAATTTCGGTATAAGACTCGCGCTATTTAGCAATAAACCGACTCGCGTCTTGGAATTCATTCGCTTACTTTTCGGGTGCGCTGACTTCAGGTCGGGAAGAGGAAAGGTCGACTGTGGTTATAAATCGGTGCTGACTGTAACTAATTTCACTTCGGTCTTCATTTCAAAAGCGATGTCCCTCTTATACCACCATAAACGTAAAACTGAGTCACTTCAACTTCAATATTATTATATTACCCACCTTAAAGTCTCCTCTCATTCAGTCACTCCGACAAATGGTCGACATCCCCAATTGACGGCACTTTTTTGCTAAATCTGCAAAGTCTTTGGGCTCAACGTTGAACTCACACACACGTCTACTTCACCTGCCTTCTTTCAAGTGCGAGTAGATCCTGAATCCCGAACAGAGTCCTTCACACGACCGTTCTCTTCAGCATAAACAGACAGCGATACCCTTAAGAGATCACAGAGAAGGGAAAACCGAATTCTTGTCCGTAAAAACATGTTTGCGCGGTGAAGTGTACAAACTACACCAAAACAAGTTCGTCGAACGTGGAATGTAAGAAAAGTCGAGTGCGATGGAAGGCGACGGCCATCACAGAAATTCGCTACCGAGCTCCGTACTTAGCCAAACACCTTCGGTGACTTTGTCGCCGCCTGTGAACAGCGCCCGGGCATCAGCACGAGGGTTCACGTTCTGGCTTAAGCGTCACAACCCAAACACGCGAAACACTCGGTCACTACGTTACTGCAAGCCGTCGAATGCCACACCCGAGCTCTAGAAGTCCGGACATCCCTGACCGGGCGTCTGATCCAGCAACAAGAAACACTTTAATGTCACTCGCCCTTCTGTCGCATACCTCAGCTGTCTTAACGGTTCCCTGCATTCCTGTCATCCCGCAATAACCCCTTCCCCTCCCCTCCCCACCCCGTGCTCCAAGTCACCGTGTCAACGAGTAGCAGAGTGGCAGGTCATCACGATGTCCACAAACCGCGGATTCCCTCCCGGGCAGTCAGCATGTTCGCTGTGACGCCCCGCCGGGTCTGAGGTACGACGGGCATCAGGGTTCTTAACGCGGCAGGAGCGATTTTAACTTTTTACGTTACCCAGTTCCGAAACGACAAGGGACTGTCAGTCCAACCACGAAGCTGACATCACCCCTTGTTGGCCATCCATCACACTGACAGAAACTCTCGGATATTATGGCCCTAACCCCAGTCCGCAATCCGAGGACGCGCCATTTGAAACGTTGAAGGCCAGGCATAAGGACGTACGACTAAAGATAATTCAGAAATGCTTAGCGAGGACAGGAAACAGCTGTTAGAGCAGCTAGTGCCGGAACGAGAACAGAAGGAAACCTTCGCCTGTGATGCAGCATTTGGGTGACCGTCAGAATAGACGGCACAGGCTACAAAACAAATCAAAGGTGACGTCATTCCTGCACCGGGCAACCACGAACGTCGAACCAAAGTGGTCGATATTTCAGCCTTGCTAAGTTACTGAGGAAAATCGGGTAAAATTCCGGTTGCGATGGACAGTGGCTGGACTGGGCTTTAGATGAAGTGCCCTCAGTCACGGGAAGTGCATCTTGGAACTATGCAAAATGTTTGCCAGGTGCCACGAGTTTTAGAAATCTGACACTTCTGGAACTCATCAGGCTAGTGACATCTTCCGAAGACTACAAATTATGAAGCCCCTCATTCCGCAGTTTTCTCCGGGCGCAAATACTGTCCTAATCACTTCGTTCGCAAAGACATGCCACTTGGGTGGACACCGGATTTCACACATGTACCTAATACCACTGATGATGATGATGACGACGGTCGAATTGGCCGGCAAAGCAGTCACGTCACGTAGTTCACACGACACAGAAAACAAAAGCCGGTAGCCAAGAGTTTGAGGAAGAACAGACGACAGAGTTAGGAAATCGGACAGCATCGTAATATAATGTAACCATGGCGACGGCTTTCTATTACAAATGAAAGCTCGTGTGTCAATGGAAATCGACTGGCGTGATAATCCTGTTCAAGTAGGCCACCACAGGATGTTCTGCAACTACCTGAGCCACGTCCCTCATTTCTGATCAGAATATGATATTTCTGTGGCGTTCTAAGAATGGAGTAAGTACGAGTGCCTGTTTACCGACGCATTCGAGAAGATCACCGAGTGGGAGGAATCTTCAGGTCGGAGTGACTTTTCCGGGCGATTGGACGTTCACGCGCTGTCTCTGGTACCAACACATCTGCACAGCGAGGCGCCAGCCAGCGCACCAACTTCCTGGAGTCTGGCAGGTGCTTGTAAGTTTTGAAAGCCTCGCGCGAGTTTTCGTTCAGGAACGTGTTGGCCATCTTACCTGGAATGAGAACAAGTGACGTAAGCCAAGTATTAAGTGTGTCTGCCAGGTAAATTGACCTTGGCTCTTATTAAACACGTAGGTAGACAGTGGAGGCGTGGCCCCACTGTTTCCTAACCGTGGCATAATTTAGATGCGACACATCTCAGTCGCTTTAATCTGCAGAGAATTAATGCCCATTATTCATCGGGTGGTAAGCTAGGTGTTCATCTGAACCGGTTCGCCGCGCTCGGAGGCTAACAGAAGAATAATAATTCGTCCTTGTTGGGAATCGAATAGAGAAAGGTGAAAGTCACTATGGAGAGCGGTGGAACGAAGTTTTTGAAAAATAATGAGAAAAGTAAGAAAAAATATAAGTGATTTTAGGTTATCACGGTGGCAGCCATGAAGACGACTGTCTTCTGAGATATTGCACCGTGTAGTGTCCCAGAAGTTGAGCGACGTTTCGGAGGTTCTTACTGTCTCCATCTTCAGGGCTTTGAAACGTTGGTAAACATCTACCAGACTACACGGCGCAACATCCCAGAAGACAGTCGTCTTCAGAGCTAGAAAAGGCAGTCTTACGGACAGACGAACGCGAGACTGGGAGACGACAGATCTATCGCTTCATGGTCTGATTAACAGGCAGGTTACTCCTGGACGCGGAAAGTGTGAATACGAGGAAGGCATGCGGTGTGTATGCTTACCGAGTGTCTTGTCTCCCCCGAACAAGTTGTTGAACTGGAAGTGACTGTTTCGTGCGCCGAGAGTCCACTTCAGGTCCTTGACCTCCAGGAACTGCTGACCTCCCCGATTTTCCATTTCAAACAGAGTGCGGCAAGTGGTCGTAACTTCCGCTGGAATCCAAATTGAGCGCGTGTTATGAGCTTCCTCGCTGTCAGAATTCGCGCATGCGTGGCCTCAGCGCCTACCTGATTGGCTATCACTCGTATTTCGTATTTCCTTCGCCGTTAATGAACTTACTCACACGTAAATCTAAATAAGATATTGACAATTTCAAGCAGTTTATGTTCTGGTTATTAAAATTTTATTCCACATAACAGTCAGTTCATGTAGCCAGCAGACCGACGAGGGCACCCCCGTCTACCTAAACCCTCAGATTTGGCTTTAGTTCTGCAGTAGGACAGCGGACTCTGCCCTCGCTTACTGGCTAAACTATTACGTATGAGCACTCCACTGTTAATTTGTAAGTCTCATATAATTAAGCAGTATTCTGTTCCGCGCTGTAGTTCGGTTTGTAGCGTGTTTGCCTGGGGATCTAACCCCGGCCGGACCCCATCGTAGGCAAACATTCTACCATCTTAACCGTAATGGACAACTGACGTGTTCTTCTCGTACGTAACTCATGAATTAAGACTGAGGAAAGTGAAAAATGTAATTGTGTGATAATGAAAGAATCAGTGGAGCTCCGATGCCTAATATCTTGGCCAGAAAGTCGTAGAAGTGTCCACTGTCGTTTGGGCACCGAATCTGAAGGTTCTTAAAGAAGGGGGTCCCAGTGTCACTTACTGAACTTGAGTGTGCAGTCTCCTTTCCCCTCCATCGACAAGGCCAACACTTTCCCCTTCATTTCATAGTCAGCGGTGATAATCAGGGAAGGTATCTTCATTCGTAACTCCATCGTCAGTGTGTCGAAATCCATCCTGTTGGGGACACCGTGTTTTATTCTGATAGCAGAACACTTAATTATGATTAAACGCCTGGTATCTGTTACGAGGTGGTTTAGTTCTTTCAGATAGACGTCAGGATCTCGCAAGAGATAATTTTACCTCAGGAGATGGACTGAACGTTTTAATTGGTTTGCCCTTTGTAAGCGTGTTCACAACTCTGTGGAGCGGCCACTAGAATCGCTCTCTTCGTCCCTCCGTCTGTCTGTACCCATGCAAGATCTCGAGAACAGGTAAAGGGATTTTAAATATATTTGATATTGGGGAGTTTTAATAATAATAGTTTCTAATTCTGGTTCAGACTGGACAAGAACGAACACTTTGCGCGGATATGCAAATTCGTTTCTTTCTCGTGGAAATTTTAGGGCGGGAAATCCCCAGCCGGGATTTCCCTGCCATTCGCAAGGTCATGGGCAGATCTCAGTTAACGCGTCTGAATTATTACGCCACACGTGAATTTATTAACGTCGCAAGTTGTCGGAACGATAGTATATAATTTACACACTTCGATCAGAGAATTTTAAGTAGTGGGCTCTGTATTTTTTACGCGCCTTCGGCGTGTATAGAACTGGATCCACCGATTATGGCCGCTGACCTTGAAGGTAGTGCCCAGTATGCGGACCACTCAATGAAGGAAGGAAGGAGTTTCCGTCGGTCAGTACAGTCTGCGTCAGTGCAGCAGTGTAGAAGCCTGATAATTGTTGTCTTGTGACTGTGCTGTGTTAATGATATGCCACCTGTTCGATGCAATCTCCTTTCTGGTCACTGATAACGCCTCGATCACAACAGACAGACAGACAGACAAACCACCGACGTCTTAATCAAAGGACGAAATATCCCATTTTGTGACGTGTCCAAAGCTCAACAGTACGATTTAATCAAACTAAATAAGTCAAAACACAAATATTTATAGCAGGTCACGCCTAGTCACGCTTAGTCACGTTTGGTCACCCTGTGTAAATCTCCGTCACATTTCGACGCATTTGGTAATCCTTTGTCACGACGTGAACGCTGATCATGCTTAGTCACACTTAATCACGCTAGGTCACTAAGTCACGTTTCGTCACGTTACGGCACTTATGGCCACATCTCGTCACGTCGTTACGGTGCGTCACGCGTAGTCACGATTTGTCACGCTTTTAAAATCTTGGTTATGTTTTAACACTTACGGTGTCCTCTCGTCACGCTTTCAAAGGAGGCCACGCCTTGTCACGCTTTGTCACTAATATATGACATAATTCAAGATAATGGAGCGGACAGCAGCAGCGGTGGTGATGAATCGAGTGATATTTCAGAAAGCGAATGTCTGTGAGGAGTGGAAGAATTGGAAGAGGACCGAAGAGTTGCGAAGAAGATAAGATTATTTAATATTCTCTGTTGTGTTAATTTTCTAGTGACGTGTAGTGTAGTGAAATCGACTTTCCTGTGTTACATAACGTGGTGATATTTTATTTGGAGTGTACTGTACGCGGCCTGATGCATCCCTTCCAGCAAACTTCTGGTTTGTGACTCGCTCCGAGGTTCCAATTCACAAAGTTCAGCGGCCAAAAACGCTGGAACTCAGAATAAACATCGACGACGGGTAACGACATCAAAAGACCACTTTCTCTTTTCAGGATGAGCGCGAGGTTAGGTTAGGTCGTTTTGCCTGGGAACGCTTAAGAAACGAGCAGCGGCCCGTCGTGCCAGATGAACTGCATCAACAAACCCGTTACATCGTCCTTGATATTCTGAATGCAAAACAGAGCTGTTTCGCACAGCGGTATCCGTATTATTTTTAGAAGGGAATCGGTTCGAATCCCTGCACGAACCTACTTTCCCCTCAGTCTCTAAATGCAGAATAATACACAGTGACGACATTCAATCCGCGCTATTTCGAGGGCCTAAAGGGGCGTGTTCGAGGAGCGGGAACAATAATTGTGACCACAACATTTCAGTGGCCAGGTTCCCGACGCTGCCCTACAAGATCCTAGCGCAGAATTAGCTGTTGCACATGGACCGGGAAAGAGGAGAATGATGAGACGGTACGACACGTGCGGTCAGCGGCCAACAGCCATGGGCGGCGTGACAATGAAGGGGCCCACGGTCACTCGAACTCCATGAATAATCGCGCCACCTTGACGTGCCTCTCCCTTACTGGAATGCAGAGGCACTGCCCACACTGCCGCCCTGTGACAAACAGCGAGCATGCGTCACCCCACACAAACGACCTCACACCTCGCCCCAAAACAGCGGAAATTCAGATTCCCCTTGTGGGAGGATCTTTCGAACAAGATCGTGCATCATAAGATTCGGGGAACACGTCGACTGTCCGAGCGACTATGAGATCAACGGAGCTAGTTGGCCTCTCTCGCTCTCAGACTGACGTTCCTCAACAGAATCCGGCCTACATCAGACAGAAAAGCTGCAGCAATTCTGAACTAGCCGTTCTCCTCTGCGTGTCGCCCTGGCACAGAACTGTCGTTGGTCCCGTGTGGAAAGTTTTCGTAACAACTGGGAGGGTCCGAGCTAGATTAAGAATGTTCACGTGCTCCAGTTACCGTCGCCTGGTCTCTGTACCGTGGGCAGAGCCGTCATAATCTCACGCAACAAGATTACGTTTCAAAAGGAGAGACGTCCCACACAAAGATGTATCGGTCATTCTAAAGTCACCTTAAGCTTCTATTTACGTAATGCACGACGCTTAATAAAAGATGTCTTCGCTGGCTCCAGGCCAGACGTGAACTCCCTGTATGACGCTCCATTCGAAGAGCACATTTCCCGTTACCACGCGCTACCTGCATTCGTGTTAAATGACGCACGTGGTGAGTGACTCACTGGTCCGTCCGCCTTTGCGCCTTGCTCTGATACTTGAAAGAACTGCTTCTGAGAAAAGCAGCACTCGGAGTGGGAAGACGACTATCAGCTGCAACACGGCATGGAGCTGCCTGCCGATCGATCGAACTGTCTTGTCCTCTGATCCGACAACAGTGCGTCCAATCGGACCAGTGGTCCAGACGTCAGATTTTTGTCTAGCTGTCAAATCTACTCAACAAGGAGACGTGAAAGACGACACTTTGATTCCTCTTTTTATTATTATTTAGTGTTCTGTGTGACGACAGGTCCATATGAACAGGATCCTTCCATCCTTTTCTCGGACTGGGACCTGTTCATATGCGTTCTTGGCAGATGATCCAGAAGTGGTTTGCCATTGCCTTCTTCTGTGTGTGAATGGAGTAATTGTTGGGATGCCACGGAGGAAAACTCCGTGTTGCCTAGACCACGGCCTTGTCCAACACAAGTTATAAATTCGGGCACCGCCGGGAATCGAACCCGAGACCCCAGGATTACAAGGCCAGCGTTCTGACCGCTACACCACCGCGGCTGTTTGATTCCTCTACAGTTTGTAAATAAAGGTCGTTTCCCGAAAACAGGGTGAACAGACCGACAATGAAATCGTACACAGAAGCATCATCACGATTACTGTGACACCGCAAATTTAATAGAGAAAATTCATCGCACTTGCTGTCAGGCTCCATGTATGGTACAGGCATACCAACATTAAGACATTCATAACTGATTACAGACCAGACGAGACTGAGGTCCAACCCTAAAACGGAGAAACGTCGTCCTGCGTCGAGACGCTGAGGACACAGAAGCAGACATTTGTCACGGAGGTTCTGACATGTCCCACACACGCGCGCGAGATTGGCGCTGAACGTCGCCTCTCCTCAACGAGAATATATATTCCCGTTATATCTAGCGGCAAGGACATATGCACGGCTTATACCGGGTGTCCTAGAAAAACCAATCCCTTTCATAAACCCTACATTCCTCTTGACTCGAACACGATGACCCACTCTCCAGATACAGGCTTCGCCCCAGCCAGCGACCGCTTCCGTGGTTTTCCTCAAGCGCATCTGCCGATAATCGAGGTGTATTAAACATTGACGACGCTGTGATAACCAGGCATAGTTGTACCTTGCAATGCTATTATGAACCACGCCACCTCAGTCAGCTAAGTAACAGCAAAGGCTGACAATTTGCTCTCTTCTGACACGCCCAGCATCCTAATCCAAATATTTCATGGGAAAAGTGTTTAGAGCCAGTATTATAAATACAATAACATACTTTAAATTGATAAGAAACTGATAGTCCTGATGATAGAGACTGTAGGTACGTCTGAAACATCGTTCATCTCTACGAGACTACTCGGGGCAACATCACAGAAGAAAAAGACATTCTCTTTCGTCCCACTCCGTAAGACGAAAAACTAGCGAACGAATTTCATTAATTTCCTCCAAGGTGCTGCAAACAACAGTGACCGAGTATTGGGACACCCGGTACAGCGCGGATCCTGTTAACTCAAGGCGAGGCATCCTTCTACGGAACGCGAAGGTGAGTGTTTACACTGCGTCCACCTTCCTCAAACGTTATCGAGAGATTTTTCGCCTGGCTCAGGCTCTCCTCATGCAGATTCCGCAGAGGAACACTTAGCACGCCTTTTTCTGCATAAATCTCGAATATCTCTACCGGAAATAAGTCGAGCATTTGCATTCAAACTCGCCATTCACAGGACGAAAAATTCATACGTAAACCTTGAATAATTCGTCGAATCACATTCACGACCTGTACAATTGCATTACTTAAATAATACGAAACCTCGTACCATCTTCAAGAACACGAAACAAAAGAAATGCAACAGCGGCCTGCGTGTTGCAAACCTTCGCACGCCGCCTTCTTCTTAACTGCATTTCGCTGTGTCTCAATGGCTAGAGATAAAATGAATTTTAATGGCACGTACTGCATGTCACAGCCTCTTGGTTCCGTGATGAAACCTAAAAGCCATTAGAATGACGCGCGTCTCACGGTTGGGTTCGAATAATACGACCCAACCTCGACTCTTCTCCACTCACTTCGTCTCTCGCTCAGCGATCGAATACGCGCAAGAAAGTTTCCTGAAGAGAGTGTTTCGACCCAAGTGACAGGAGGGCACTCATTTCATCCAGGCGATGCATTTCCCGACAGAAACCACGCAAAATGAAAGGCGTGCGGTCTAATTTGAAACGGGCATGTAGGTTTCTGGCACCTTGCGACAAAATGCCGCCGAGAGTGGACCAGACCGGAGGTTCGGCACATGAGCGTCGTCCTTAGTAGCACGCGCGGAGCGGAACGGGTTTGAAACCAGGTGAGCCAGTCCGGTACAGGGTGGTCAGCAAGTACGT